AAATAATTCTAGACATGAAATATTTCGTTTAGACAGTTAGGCCAGGTATTTCACAGAATGTTATTTTCTGAGCGTGGCATCCTGCTCAAGAGCAGATCTCTCTTAATAGCTAGCATTTCTTCCTTTCGTTTCCTGGCTTTTTTTTTTTACGTTCACGGTCATCGAGCACTCAGCCTGGATAAGAAAAATGAAAAAGAAAATCAGAAAATGATAGGATTAGCACTGGTGGTCACAGAAGACGAATTTGTGCAACGGTACCCTCACGTTTCCCAAAGCTGACTTTCTTCTTCATCAAGCTTGAAACGTTTTTATGGTCCCTTGCATGCACACTATGATACTTGAATACAATGAGAACTGAAGAATTGCGAGATTTTTCCCAGGTCGTTTTCTACAACGGTGCTTTCATTTGAGTTCGAATATATCACCTCCTAAGTACCGTGCCATTGGGAAAATGACTTGCGACTTCGGTTAAACTTTCGGATTAAGTTTACTTATTTTGGACACAGTGTACTTTCACCTCCATTTCTTGATTACTGCAGTACTGTCCATTGCGGGTATTAGGTAGTAAACGGGTAAAAGCTGCACGTTCGGATTGTAAAAAGAGGAAATGTTGCCAAGAATCTGGTCGGCGCCGGAGATATCGTTGGGAAAAACGTAAAAATACAAGGAAGTCGTAGAGGAGAAAGTCGAACGTGCTTTTCATTGCTGTCATCATCCACATTTCAAACAGGGTCCCATCTTTCTCTTTCCTCCGAGACAAAATGAATGGTCAAATTCTTGCGAGCCCATGACGATCAGGAATGAACAAAGAAGGGAGGCGTTGAGTGCACTCTCGAGGATAATTATGTATGCGGATGAACTGTACGTATTTTCTGAGTCAATCGACTTGTAACTTCGCTTGAATTTCAAATTAATTACAGGAGCGGATGTAATCCGCGTTTTGAAACTCTCCTTCGCTAGTGTTAAAAACCAGTGAAACACCCAATGAAACACCCCGAGAAGGATTTATTATCCTTGTATAAGGTCATTGCCTGCCCAAATGTTCAGGGTGTTCACAGGTACAAGCCGCCTCAGAAATGCAGAGAGGAGATCTGGCGATCATGGAGGCCAAGCAAATAGACCTCCATGACTGATCTAACGTCCTGGGAATTTTTGATCGGAGAAATATCTCACTGCATGATAAACATGTGCAGGAGCGCCATATTACTGAAAGACGATGATGGCGATCATGGAGGCCAAGCAAATAGACCTCCATGACTGATCTAACGTCCTGGGAATTTTTGATCGGAGAAATATCTCACTGCATGATAAACATGTGCAGGAGCGCCATATTACTGAAAGACGATGTTATCCCCCAAGTCTTCATCCATTTGTGATACTACAGTGCTTTTTTACTTGAGTTAGACAATTTTTCACTTGACTCAGACACACGTGCATTGGACGTTCCTCATGTATGAGTATCGAAGTCAAGTGAAAAAGTGTCTAACTGAACTGAAAAACATTGTATAAAGTTTTCGAGCATGTTCAGGTTCACGTGAGTAGCAGCACGTGCTTCTTCAAGCGACAAAACGCATCGTGCTTCCTGAGCTCCCGTGAAATCCGTCATTTTTGTTGATTTGACTCATGCGCCGCCAACAGAATGAATGTGACCTTGGTATTCAGGCGGCACAAAATTTGAAGTGTTTTTGCATATTTTGGTTTTGGTTTCACTTTTTTTTTTAATCATTAGTTTTGAAGCAACAAGACTTGCAAGTTGTAAAGAGAATTTGTGAACACCTGGAACTTGAGGGCCATCTATAGTTGTGACCACCTAACTCTGGCGATTCGACACGATCAACTTTTGGCTGGTGTTGATTTAACAACAGACATTAAACACCATCGTACGAAATCTACAGTTTTGCCACGCTAAATTACTGGTTTTCATTGTTTTTCTATTGCGATTGCTTCTCTGCTCAGGCGCCAAAGTAGCTGTGAGGGTTTGAGCTCATGATTCACAGAACATACAAGGGGTCGCTTTGACCTTACTCCGAGATAGGCTGAATAAGTTTCAGAGAATGACCTAGTTTCATCACTACCTGTTTCCATTGGACTCACCGGTGTTTCTTTTTCCGTCTTAATTCTTTAAATTTGAGTTTGACGCAATATCGGATGGCTCCGACACGCGTGGAGCCCTACTTACGCGTGGGCAAGTCAACTGGAAATGGGTCGAACTCATCTGGAAGTAAGATGTACGAAGTGGTTGTGAATTTCGGGAGCTGTGCTCAGGTTAGGCCTTATATTACTTTTCATTTAGACTTAGTTTGCACTAGTTGGCCTTGCTGACGTTGTAGGACTACACCCTTGCCTCTGAAGCCTAGGCTCACCTCGACTACTTCGATATGGTCTCATTCGTGTTGTTACTTGTTTCAGATCTTCCCTTGGGAAGGGTTTCACATCAGGGTTTGCTTGTGATGGGTTAGTAAGACATTAGAATGTTTACTCCAGGCATGGTGAAGGGCCTCAAAGGAGGTGCCAGCCTTGGCATGACAATGAAACGACGAAGGCCTACAAGTTTGAGCCTTGTTTTGGATGATCCAACAGGACCGTTGCTAACTTCACTGCAGAGAAATTTCTCCTCACTCAGGATGAGGAAAGCCCCAACCTCACTTATGGAGAATTTATCATTAGCAATTGGTGTTAGTCGAATGCTACAAGGCCCATGGAAGGAGCTGTGTTTATGCCAGAAGCGAAGTAGCTCATCCCACTCAGAAAAATTATGGAGAGCATATGAAGATGCCAAAAAACATTGCAAATGTGAGGATTCTCTGAAGTTATGTGTAATGCTCCATTAAGGTGTTCATATTAAAAAGTCAGCCTCACATATTCTAAGCCTTTATTTAAGTTTATCTTTGACATTTAGCCTTATCATAGTCATTCATGGAAAGGTTCATTTTGATATTTCCTATCCATCAACTTTGGCTACCAAGACTTTGTTTACTTGGTACTGTGATTTTTTAAAATGATAAATTCATGGATTAACTTTTTTGGATTCCTCTTGCTCCATAATTGATTATATCTCAATCTCATTTCCTTGAACAGCAAAGAAGCTTCCCCCAGATGTTGATCCAAATGGTGTTTTTGCATGCAATGAATTGGACTTGAGGAATATCGATGTCTATGGATTCGACTATGATTACACCTTGGCACAATATAAGAGCAAGATGGATTATGTCATCTACTCTCTGGCAAGAGAAGTCCTTATCACTGACAACAAGGTAGAGCTATTTTGATTGCCAAGAGCTAAGCCCAATCTGAAAAATGGAAATAATTGTTTCCTCAATATTTTATGATTCATACCAGTATCCTGCAGCTGTCCTTGATGCAGAATTCAGTCCAGATTTTGCAATACGAGGACTCCACTACGACATTGTCCATGGGCTCCTCTTCAAGTTGGACCAGTTCCATCAGATTCAGCAGGGAACTGCTTACAGAGGCTGCCATCGTATTGAGGAGAAGGAACTCTTGGAGCTTTACCAGGGATCAACCTGTATCCCTGCTGAATCTATTGAAGGACCTCAACTTGGTCAGGTAAAACTTAAAACATTTTACCAGCAAATATGACATGCATGAAGAAGCTTAAATTCAACCATACTAAGGCATCCTATAATGTCCAACTTTGTGATCATTTATGGCATTGAGAACTACTATACATGTATTACTTGCTAGTACAGCAACTGTTTCTTAGTATGCTGGATTATTCAGCTATTCTTCTTGATCATACTACCTCAAGTTATGGTGCACAACCTCCAGGGGGGGTCATGAAAGCCATTGTATTAGGGCTAACAGATTTGTGAAAATTTCAGTAACTTTCATAATAAATTCATGACATGATTCTTGTGTTTTTTTTCTGATGCAGTTCCAATTGGAATATATACAAATAATTGCCTTCCCACTCCTTGGCAGCTATGATTTCTGAATTCAATGTTCAATTACTCATTGATGATGTAGTGTGTGCCCTTTAATATTTCTTCCCGACTGTTATATAGCTCACTCCAAAGTGAAGACCTGTATGAAGACTAGCTGAAGTTCTCTCCATGTGTTACAGCCTCACAGAATGGTGCAGTTGGCAGATCTCTTTGCCCTACCTGCCATGTCCCTCCTAAGCAATATTACAACACATTTTCTCTCAAACAACATTGAATTTCAACCTGGTGTTCTCTTCAGTGATGTTGAGGTAAGTCTTGCCATCATTTAGGTTGCCAGAATGAACATGGTGAATAAATTTGATTGACCTTTGTGTATATCCAGTTCTGAAAAGTGCTACCTGCTCTCCCTGAAATATAGAAATGAAAAGATGTCTCTTGATGTTTTGTCTATATCAGAAAAATTTGTTAGGTATATGCATGCCATCTAGGTATTGAAAATCTTCTAAAACCTGCCTAAAGTGCTTGCTATTTCAGCATTGAAACAAATCAACATTCATTGGAACTGTTTCATTTCTCCATGGCTTCCTGTTAGGTAAATATGTTCACAAAGAAGATTAAACTAACGTTGAATTCCACATGAATGTTCTGACCCCTATGTAAAAATCCTGAAAGGCTTGGTGGCAGAGCTGACAATAAAAATTATGATTTTATTCCTAGAAGTATGATTCTTTTGTTTTGGTCACATTGTCAAATAATAGGCCTATGTCTTGAATGTCTAAAAGTTGAAGTCTTGCATTCTTGTCAGAACATTTCTGAATGTTTCAGTCCACTGTTAGCCATTTTTGACCATGGTTAAATACAACCAAATGCCCCATTATCTGGGATCTGATGTGAACCAATGATCTAAATCTTTCTTACCACGTGGATGTTGGGGCATTTGCATGTGTTTTGAAAACTCAGAGTTTTCTTTTGTTAAAAGTCATTTTAAGCTTGCATAACAGTTTGTAGGTTTTTCAACCTGCTTCAACAAGAAATGTTTATATTCTCACTGAGGTGAGCTTTCAGATAAATGGGCAGACATCTGTCAAACATGAGAATCCAGGTGAGAAGTTCACCAATAGTACCCTTGGACATATTTCATGGATGATTTCATGAAAAACCTGATAGGAAAGCTGAACCTGGCATAAAAACAGGAGCAGAACATGCAGTTAGGCTGACAGATTTTCTTTGACTTATGGTGTATTATGGTTCTAGAAAGCTGTGAGGTCAATTCATCCAGTGATGCATAATGAAGTGAAGCAGAATGTTGAGGAGTATCTGGACAAAAGCCCTGAATTAAGACAATACCTTGAACGTTTGGCAGCAGCAAACAAGAAGCTCTTCCTGCTCACTAATAGCCCTCATCCCTTTGTGTGAGTGCTACACAATGTGTTAGGCATTACTGCATTAAGTGTTTCTTTGTATTTTGTTGTGCATGCCCTATGATATTTAGTGAGCTCTGTCCATTTCATTCATTATGAAAACCATGGGTACTGTTGGTATGGTTGCTGCACACTGGTTGAACATTTCTCAAATGAATAAAAGTTGGATAACTCTTTTTACTGACTCTCCCTGGTTGTTGTTCTGAAGTTGTTTATCTATGCTTGTCTCAAGTGTGAAACCATTGTACTCATAGGATACTATACTTGTACACATTAACAAGCTATAATAGTATACTTAGTCACAGGAGAGAGACTTATCCAGTTGCTCTAAGTGAATGTTTTCTGTGGGTTGGATCTGAGGAATGGAGTTTCAGTTTGGTTGGAAGGCTTCCTGTAAATTAGGAGTAAAACAGTAGTGTCTTTTTTAAATTTAAAGGTGGAATATTTTGGATGTGGGATTAAGAGTGTGTATGTGCTGCTTTGTGATGATAAAAGCACAAAGGCACAGAGTTGGTTTTTAGTTTTGCATATTCTGTGTTCTTCCATGATTGAATGCTACCTGGCTTTTCAATGATAGATTCTCTGGAGGAATGCTGTGATTCTTGCCTGTTCTTTATTGTGGTGATGGAGTTTGCATGATGTAGTGAGTCCCAGGGAAGACACTCATGTTCTAAGGCAGCCTTATTTTTGCCATCCCTACTTTGTTGGAGGCTTGTTTGCATGGAAGCAAAAACAAAGTGTTCTAATGAACTCATCACCTTCACATTTTGTGGTAACAAGGAAGGGGAAGAGGACCATATGGTATGCCTAATGCAATTCATCAGAATGTGATATTTGATTTTTTCCATGTATAGTTTACAGCTATTAGGATATGTGGGTTTTTCTTTTGGCACATGCCCATAATCTTTTGAGGTTCGTGTGGGGTTTGAGTACTGGCATAGGCATAAATCTGCACTAGTGTATGGCCTAGCTCAGTCTGGTTGAAAAATACCCATGCATATTTGATTGCCCATTTTGGTCATTTATGCATGAACTCTTAGAAGTCAAAACTTACAGCCTCCTTCATTAGTACTTGATTAGCAATTGAGTGCTATCATGAAGTAATTATCAGTATCTTTGCTTTGCAGAGATAGAGGCCTTTCTTATCTCCTTGGTGATGATTGGACAGATCTGTTTGATGTGATCATTTGTGGGGCAAGCAAACCCAAATTCTTCAGTGAGAGGGGTATGCGCCCTTTTCGCATCTATGACCCTAAAATGGATCGCTTCAAATGGGATGTAGTCAAAAGTCTCCAGAAAGGAGTCATCTATGTTGAGGTAAGCTGATAATGGTGGTGTTGGGATCTGCAACATTTTACATTTTATATTATTTGATTTCACTTTCACCCATTTTGGGCTGGCTGGGAGAGGGTCAACAAAAATGAAAAGTCTTGATTTGAAACTGAACCTATATGCATCTACCTTCTCTTGTGATACAGGGTGACAGCTTGCAGCTACAAAAAATGATGGGGTTTGCACCACATCAAGTTCTTTACTTTGGAGACCACCCATATTCAGATCTTCATGATGTTACATTTCTTCATGGGTGGAGGACTGGAGGCATTATTCCTGAGTTGAAGGTAGCTTTTCCTCTTTAGTCACTATAGGTCCTTGTTGAATATTTGATGACTGATGCTGAAATGGAGATATTTGAAAAGCATTCTGGCAACTAAGAAAGGAAGCCAAAGCAGCAAAGCATTGAGTTCTATGCCCATCCCATGAGGTCCTTAGCCCATTGTACTGTAAATTCAAATTGCTAGAAAGAAAGGAAATTGTTGCAATGTTGAAATGAATATACTTGATAATTTTCAATTGCCATCCTGCTCTGCAGAATTTTTTCTGCAGTGCCAGGTTTGATTAGTTGAACATTTTTACCCAGAGATGGGCAAGAACTTAGAGGGGAGGGGACCATCAGGAAAGGACTCATCATGTTTTACTCCTTTGGAAGTAACATCATATTTGCTACTTCAGCATTTGAGTCAGATATTTAATAAATTTAAGGCATTTAAAACACTTTATGACTTTTTTTTTAGCATCTCATTGGGAAGGATTCATTAACAACAGACTTTTATTGAGGCAAATTTAGGTTCCATTTAGAGGAAATTCAAAATTGTTATGATTTGCATTAATATTTCAAAAAGTAAAAATTTTCATTATTTGGAGACTTGAAACCTTGCTTTCTTTGGGAGCTTTGTTCAGGTCACACATCGAAAGAAATAAGAAAAAAAATTGATTCATGAATAGCTTAATCAGTAAATACTGAAAAAAGTAAATTTATCCACATTTTGGAAATTTGTGATTTATACAGGGTGACCCTGAAGTGTCCACACTTGTTACTTGGTGGAATGTGCATGCTGGATTCAGCTCATCTCCAGTGGTCTGAAGTGATTGTTTATATTTTCTAGAGAGAAATAGAGATTCAGAATACCCAGGAGTATAAAGAGACTGTCAATTGGCTCCAGGTTCTCACACACCTGATTGATGACCTGCAAGACTCTTGCAAGGATTCGGAATCATCCCAGATACGTCAGCAATGGGAACAAGAAATTGATCAACTCAGGTAGGGAAAGTCATCAACTCTCAGCTTCTGTAACCTCTTGCAATTATACTTGAATGAATTTCAAGCCAGAGAGGATCTACTCAATAGGAACTTGTATAACTCAAACACCTTTTGTGTTTTAAGTTCCTTAACCCTTTCAGTACCACAGTATTATGGGTCATGCATTCCCACCAGGCTGGGTTTCTTCTTCAAGAAATCTAACTTTACAGTTAATTTTACATATCTATATATGCAATTTCTTTGTTTCTGGAGGTTGTTTGTGGGAAAGGTGTGTTACATTTTTAATCTAAGCTCTTTCAACTTCCAGGCACAAATTCAAATGCTTAGGAGACCAAACGAATATATTCAGGTTTGGTGTTGAAGGCTTGAACTTGAAAACAAATATATGAAGGTTTGGTGTGAAGAGCACGAAACACAAGAACGAATATATGTGGGTTTGGTGCTTAAAAGGTTAAACTAGTAATTTGAACTGGTGACAGCATCAGTTTCTCTTGTCAGTTTTTCAATGGCCTACAATGCTTTTAGGTTTGGATTTAGGTTTGGATGACTACTGCCTAGTGCTTGGTAGACATTGCATTGTGCCTTTAATTAATTCTGTCTTTGATGTTCTATCCCATCAGTCATTACAAATTTGAAATCTGGCATTTAAAAAAGTGCTTAATGAGGTAGATCCATGTCAATTAAGCTCAATTAATATTAGGATCAATCCTGCTTCTCTGTTAATTTTCCTCATTCCCTCATACTGATTAATGCATCAGGTTATAGGCTTTCTGAGAACTTAAACAAAAAGGGAAGGCTGGCAGAGGGACAAACTCTGGTGTTTAAGGTATTGATAATTGAACTAGAAATATACCACCACTTTGAAAGCTTGTATCATGAAATTAGACTTTTTCTTCTACAGGTATATGGTAACATATGCATGTCTTATGTGCAGAGTTTCCTTGTGATTTTCCAAATAACTATGCAGATCCTTTTTTGTGCCCTTTAAAGACAGGGTTATCAACAGAATTTTTAAATTTTATTCTTTCCTCAGGATTAAAGCCAAGGCCTTCTTCAATCCGCGCTTTGGGAGTGTGTTCCGGACTCATCACAACCCCACTTATTTCTCACAGCGTATCTTTCAGGTTGCTGACATCTACACATCAAACCTAGTCAACTTCCTCAAGCCAGATCTCGACCATACATTCTATCCACGACGAGGAGCCTTGCCTCACGAGTACCGTTATATGTTCATTTGAAACCTGGGAGTTTTCTAACTCCAATTATATTACTTGCTTGCTCTGGGTGTCTACAGGGTGTTTATAAAGTCCCTTCCACAGTGCTTGACACTTGTGTGCACACTCTATAAGGAAGACAGTGACAGTTGGGGAACTCATTCAGATCACCTTCATGCAGGGTAGTGCCTCTCCTCCACATTGCCAATTTAGTGGAGGACCTATTCATGGCAAACTTTGCTAACAGTGAATTCAACATTCAAAAAGCAATTCCAGAGGAATAGCTTGTGTGATATTGCTTTACACATTACTCCTGCTAACTTTTGGTTGTTGGGGTTTCATGAAGTCATGGGTCAACTGAAACACACCCATAACACTCCTAGAGTTTAAGTTTGCCATTCATCAATTATGTCTACCTTATAATGTCATCCTATATGTTGGTGCTGAGAATGTTGGTCCTTGTCATGAAACAATTGGTGCTACTAGTGGAGCGCACTTTGAGTGTCTCCTTTAATAGCCTTGATAGATGAGGGACCCCCAAATGTTGTGTGCAAATATGACACCCTCATAACATGACCTTTCCTTCTGACCTCATGATTCAAAGTTGCTATCTTCTGCAATTTCTTTTAACCCATTCCCAAGTTTTGCTGTCATGCCCAATGGAGTGAGCACACATATGTCAATCATCATGGAAGAATCCCCTATTTACTATTTTTGTAGTCTTCCAACAATGAGCAAGAGTCTCCATGAAACTGATCGAGCTTGTATGAGGCAAATTCATGCCACCTCTCTCCAGGCATACTTTTTACATCTAGTCTAGATCTGAAATTAATCTGCCAAGTCTTTGGATCAGATTTATTAAAGTTGATGTTGTGCTTCCTGTTAGCCAGGGCAGAAGCCTTAAGTGGGCTTTCAGGCCCTCATGATATTGTACTTCAGATGTGCCATAAATAACATTCTTAGATGTAGTAGCTCTTGAATGGGGGATACTAACTCTAATTTGAATCTAGTTGACATTAAATTGTGTTTTGCTTGCACCTGTACTTTCTACCATTAAACTTCCTAGCAGAATGGAAGGAGGATCTCCTATACCTTGATTCAGAATGAACCAGAATTGTGAATATACAGTGGATACCCACATTGGGGATAACATTTTTGGTGCCTCATTTTTTTAGTGGATCTCATTGATGTGATAGGAGTTAGAAAATGATGTCTTATGCATTGCTAGAATGAAATGTGATATGTGAAGGTGAAAATTTCATCATCCTATTTCAAACTAATTTAGTTCCTTGCTTGCAGTGAAACAAAGAAAGTACTGGATGTTAATGTTTGTATTGTTTTGAATCATCACTCTGGAAGTGAATTGTTTCACTCATATGAGAAATGCTTGTCATGGATTATTGGGTGCTTTTTTTTTTTTACTAATTGCTTCATTTTAAAAGTGATCATCCTCTCTTTACCATGTTTAGTATATTTTATGTTGGATATTTTGGAACTAGCAAATAAAATCAGATGATAGATTCATATGGGCATGTATCATGTCCCTGTATGCTGAGGATTCTTGCACAGAGAGAAGTAACATGTTGCTGTCCATCAGATGGCCAAGGGTGCAATTGCGATGCAATCACAGTGGTGATGTGATTGTACCATGATTAAGTTGGTTCATTCATGCATCAGTTTGTCTCAATCCTTGGTCATCTTAAATTGCAATTAAATGGACTGAAGAAATTAGTGCATATATTCTGAGAACCATATGAACGCTGTCTCTCCTGTTATACAATAATAGAGGAATTGTTAATGGAATGAAGTTAAATCATTTCCATAGTGAAGTCCGAATTTCTCCTTTGATAATGACCATGAAATTCCTTTTGTAATGGGAGACGCGGTTGATTCTGATGGAGATGTGAACCGGTCACGTCTCAGGGAAGTAGAGTCCAGTCTCAGCCAAATGTTCCTGGATATACTCGTTGAAGTGACAGTTTTGCTCGTGGGTGAGTCGCGCTCTCCAGCCTCCAGCCTTCCCCTGTCTAATGAATTCCTGCGTCTTCAGCCCCATCATATCGTCAATATTTTCCATGTTCACAGATTTGTTGCTCTTCATGAGGTCAAAACTCGTGTGCTCGACTATCGCTTCCGTTTGATCATCTGTCAAGGGACAGCCGACGAAGTCGGAAATCTTCGAAATGCATCCCCTGATATCCTTCACAGAAATGAAAAAAGTGTTTGTATTCCATCTTAATGCGTCCTCTATGTCTTGAGATCATGCTTACCTGATGCAGTTCCTCATAAGTCAGAAACAGCATATTGGGCATCTCTCGAAGTTTCCAATGCTCTACGACATGTCGCCAATGAGGACTCCACAGCACTATGAGAATGAATCTCGCATTACAATATGATTAGGAACCGCGCATGAAATAAAAGGGCTGTTGGTGGCAGTGGCGTGCCCAAGGGGGGGGGGGGGTTTGGGGGTCATAACCCCCCCTTTGGGGTCAATTTTACACGTTCGATTCTCACAATTTTTTTTATTTTGCCACAAGTACAGGGCCGGAGTCTTCGAAGATGAGTTCCTGTGCGATTCTATTGCTGCCATGCACCAAATATGAATAAGCTGAATCTGGCTCAAAGCGAATTTCGCAGAGAATTCCCTCCCTTGAGGTTGTTTTTATGTGAGACCTTATTACAAAAAGGAAGGGGGAACTAAGCAGCAAGAAGCCGACTTTAAGATGACTATTTTGCAAAGAAATTTTAGATTGCGGTATATCTTTGCTCGCCTACTCAAAGGAAATGCCGTAATACTGAATTTTTTGGAACTCCATGCATCAAGGGTAACGTTTTCATGGAGGTTTTTCCATCGCGGCGAGACATATATATGAAACATGACACGTGGAACTTGCAAAAGAAAAGTACTCACGCAGGTCAGCGAGGAAATACTCGACGAATTCATCAAAGGATCCAATGTATTCCTCGAAGTGAAGCATGTGGTGGTAGTAAGAGATGCAGACATCCTTCGGATTCCGAGCAACGTAGATCACCTATCCCAAACAAGCAACGTATCAATACGTTAATGCACATGATAAAGAATCTCGCTGCTCTAGCCGATGCTATTGGGGTGGGGGATGACTAAATGATGATGTTTCCCTCAAAGCGAAAAATTGTCTGAAATGAAAACGCTATACAGTATTTTTCACTTGACTTCGACACTCATGCAAGAGGGAACTTCCCATGTACGCGTGTCCGAGTCACCGAGGCAAGTGAAAAATGCTGTAGTAGACTAGAGCCCGATGCACCTTCATGTACCAGCAGAAATATGTACTTGTTTCCGATTGACCCGGGCATTTGATGCAGTGAAGAAACCAAACGTTTATTGGAATCTCGTTTCACCACCACGGAATAACAACCAAGATCTATCTTGCTTCCTCGCTTCGCTCTTTCCCACGCACGGGCGCGAGGGTATCCATATTGCATGTGCCTGCATTCTCGTCTCAGTTTATTCCTTTTTTTCCCGAGGTGTCAGACTCTCACTGTGCTGTCCACAGTACGACATGCTCTCAAAGGATTCATCGTTATTATTCTTCAAGTAAGTGATCAGGACCGGATTTAGGGGCAGGTGACTCAGGCGACCGCCTGTGCACCTTAAGGATAAATCATGCATTCAAATTATGCATCAAAGTTGTGAAATGGGTTACAAATGCAATAAAAAATAAGGTATTCAAAAGTTGAACGAATGGGGGGAGGGGGCGCCGAAGACGCTTTCACATCGCTATTCTCACGTTTGGCCGGAGGGTACCGAACATGCACGATAGTAGAATGTCCGACCTTTGCCTGTCACGAATTTGGTAAAGGGGATCTTCATCTGCTATCGGAGCGACACGAACTAGTAACGGTGGGCAGAGGCAGAACATGTAGGGGGGCATTTCTCAAATACCTGCTGAAACAGTGGTACAGGATCGGGAGCAGGACAGTTTGCTGCACAGTGTCAGTGGGCATAATTGCACTCAGGAACTGTTGCAACGTGTATAGCACTTGCGGAAGCGGCGATTAAAATGGTGTCCACGTTGAAGTGAGGCGAGGAGAAAAATACTTGCTATTGCCGTGAATATTTTTCACCCTTCTACCAATACGAGTCTGTCTGCCCTGCCTCTGTATCAGTGGCGGCTCGTAATCTGTAGCCGTAGTTGCTCGTCAATGGAGGCAGAGAAGGCCGCTGCCCACAGCTCACGAGCCGTTGCTGGCACATACAGCATCTGCAATCTCGGTTGATATTACACTGCTACTAATGACGACACCTTGGTGCTTTTAAAGGTGACTAAAGCGCGAGATATGACCTTCCGTTAATTGAAGGGTTGAAAGGTAAAGTGGTCTATTGCAAATATTTTTCATATAAAAGCATATTTGGTTTAGTGTTAATAGAATCTTGTTCCTTTAATAGAAAATGATAGTTTTTTGGAATTATGCAAAGGATGAACTTTTCTATCGATACATACCACTTTTCCTCACTTTTAACATGACGGTCACTAATAGAATATTCACTCTTTCCGTGTGGAGCTTGAGGAAATTTTTTTTTTTTCAAATAGACCTCTTTGCTTTTTAGCCCTTCAAATGAACGAAAGAATAGAGACTCGGAACGAAGACAGACGGCACGCAATAGCTCCAGGCGAGGGGAAAACTTGCTCGACAGGGCTGGAGCCCGTTTCTTTCTATCGCCTTGCTTGTCTCCTGCAGTCTTATAGAAACGTGATTCCAGCTACGATCTCTGTGATGGACGTTCGCTTCGTTTCGTGCCCTCATGCATTACTGTTTCACCCCGAGCCAAAGGTCCGTCCGGCTTGTTACTTCGTTTGGTGTTGCAGTGAATCTTGTCTTCAGAAACCTCTACCTGGCTGATAAGTCTACGTGTATGGGGAAGCCAAGAGCTATCTTCATAATTGGTAATTAACCCTTCCAGTTCTGAATTTAAAAATATAAATGATGTAAAAACGAAATTTTCTTATTCAACCGTCCTCAATGAAACGTCATTGACCACAAAAAAAAATACAAATTCCAGAAGAGGTCACAGGGACTCAGAAGTCTCGCTAGGCCTCAAGGCCGTGCATTATTATAGCCCATCAAAATATTCGGGGGAAAATATGGGAGACCCGCCAGGACAGAAAGGCCTGGCTAGTACCCAACTACCATGTCAATGTCTGACAGAAGGGGAAAAGTAATAATAAAAAAAAACATGAGAGCCTATAAAGCCATAAGTCTTACACCCTAGCGAAAGTAGACCTGAACATCAGGCAGCATTCCAGGTGGCATTGTGTCGCTCACGATATGGAACTGACTAGAGTGAATCTCCCACATTGGCGATGTTATGGAAGGATGAGAAAGAAGGCAACATCTATATTATTTTCCTTACTGATTATATGTGAATTTGGGTTCTAGTATCATTGTAAATTCACCTCATTACTGCCTCATGAGAAAGGGCAAGGGTATGGCTCCGTATGCTTTTGGTTGGCATAAGTGATCGCAGACGATTTTAAACCCCCGAAGCCTTGTTTACTTGCTTAAGGAGGCTATATGATTCTTTTTGAACATCTGGAGTGTACCTTTTTAGTCCTGGCTTCTTCGGGCATCAGTGACATGGGGAGGTGAGTCTTGATGAGCCGAGGGGACTCGGACTTTTCCATCGCTGGAGCAGTATTCCCCGGAAACACTATACTGTTGGGGTCCATTTTCAATACTATTTCCGGGAGCGGCTGGCCTTCTTCGAGCGGGAACAAGTAATCCCACCTGTTCGATGATCGTGGTGCAGTGATCAGTCGGTTGTCGCTTCCCGTTTCGTAATAATGAACTTACTCGTAAAAGAAGGATCTCTCCATGAGGGTTTTGGCCTTGGCAGCTTCCAGGTCCGCATTATGCATGATGCACCAAGTGATCTCTTGCGTCCACGTTGTACCTGGGCAGAAAGGAGTTCTCAGCTTCAAGTCTTCATTCCGGTGGGGGAGGGGGGGGGAGGGTCAGTTGGTTATGTGCCTTATCATTCAGGGAGGGAGGAGGCCCTCAGTCGATGTAGAGCAGTGGTGCACAACCTTTTTCCCCTAGAGGGCCAAATTGAGATTTCGTCTCATGTTCGAGGGCCGCAGGCCCTCGTGCGGCCCTCGAACATGAGCCGAAATCGGTTGCATATTAATATGGATATTTAGAGATCGGAGGCATCCAAGGGGCCGCAAAAATGGTCTCCGCGGGTTGTGCATCACAAATATAGAGCGTCACCGTGTTGAAGTTCTATTGGTGTACGTGACTGCAGAAGGTGGCCAAACGCCACGCCATAAATACCAGAAGCAGTACCCTTTTAAAGCCTTTTTTAATTCGGAACCCGTTACATTTGGAATCTCATATGTCCTCCAAATGCGTCGATGATATGTTCTGCAAGTCCTTGCGTACTATTAATAGACGGCAACAAGACAAGGACGTGCTTGGAATGCGTCTGGGTTTTCAACCTTCCAACGTCTCTTAACCCTTTCTCTCCCAAGCAGAATATGAAGAGCCGATATATCGGTACCTTGGGATTCTAAGGGATACTTATACCATATTACACCTTCATGTTCATCCATTGTGGAACAGGGCAATGCTACGCATATTTATCAGAAAATCGTAATTTTTGAAGATTGCCACACCGCGTGAGAGACTCAAAAATTCCGGCTCATACCCAGCCAAGCAAATATTCTTGGCCAATTCACCGCACACTGCGTCCAACCCTCTCGGCACTATGCGCAACGGCTTGCGCAGTCATAAACGACCGTCAGCCAAATTAACGCATTCGCTGCCTAACTCTATGCGGTCCGCCAACTGTCCCCTGCGAAGCATTTTAAACATATTTAGAAAATCTTACTAGTATAAAAAATTTGTCTCTAAACCATTTAATCTTGGCTCATGAAATTTACCATATACCTTCACAAATGCATTCACGATACCTACACTATATAGTGCGAATTGCGTTTTCCGTATGCGAATGCCTATGCGCTATATTTTGCGAAAAAATAGCGCACATTTGCTTTTCCAAATTGCCTGCGAACGGCGGGCAATTCGTTTAAGTCGGGCGAGGTGACGGGCTTCGGACGAGAGCGCCGAAGTGCCGTTTACATCGAATCGAGAGGCATTCGCATCTGTTCTCGTCTTGAAGTTCAGAGCTCACCCGATCTGGGGTAAGTGGAGATGTAGACGTCGTCCTCTCTGACGGTGAACTTCATCTCTTTCTCCAATCGAAGGAATTGGGGATTCATGATGTAGTCTCCCGGTTTCAATTTGACGTACTTGTCAAACAGCGTCGTGTGGCTGACCATTTTGGCCACTAGGGGATCGGAGTCGTCCAGGTATTCCCATTCCCAAGGCATTCTCTGACAAGTCTGTACCAGCGCTAGTACCTGTAAAGAGTCTGAATCTGTAAATAGACGTCGTACATTATACGTTATTATTATATATTATACATTACACGCTAGTCACATAACTCTTACCTACGGTGGAACTGCAAAGGGGAATGCGTATTTCCCCTGGTTGGACCATGAAAATTACTCTGGGATTATGCTCAGGGTCGGCTCTAGCTATTTCGACGCCCTGTCCCAAGAGACTCCCAACACGCTCCCCCCCTCCCCCCCTCCCCTCCCCCCCCCCCCTTCCGCTGGAGATGGGTGCTCCCAAGTGTCCAAAAAGACGCCGAAACGGAAGGCATTTCCACTCTCTGAAGTAAAACTGAGGGTGGGATCCCTTATTGCTTCATTCAGTCACGTTTTGGCGCCCCTGGTGGATTTGCGCCCCGTGCAGGTGCACGTTTGGCATAAGGTCGGCCCTGATTATGCTGTACTGGGTATGGCAAAAAAAAAAGACCCGCGACTTTTAACCTCTGCTTTCACCTCACCGCAACTATTTCCACAAAACACGCAAGAGCTCAGACACATCCAATTAAAAGTCCGATCGAGGAAAGCCAACAAGACAGATAGAGAAGCCAGACTGGTGACCAGACCTTGAGGCCTCCTAGCACAGTCGAGCAACAGCAAGTTTTCACGCACATTAGCGCAGCCTCTGGCAATATTCACCCTCCCTGTCCACTCCGTCCTAATCTATCCTAATGGTCATGTCATTTTACAAAAAACATTATGCCTGCACACTACATCCTCGACTGTCATCGGTATGTGTCACATGAGAGAGAGACAGGCGGAGAACCAATACGGACTTCGTTTACGCAGCTGATCGGTAGGCGGCTTCGTTTTCGATATCTAATCGTGGAACCTCGGCTCCGCCTTGCTCCCCTCTCCTGGATATCGAAAAGACTTGCTGCGGGCCTGTGGGCAAGGGAGGTCCGGATTAGCTATCCGACTCTCGTGCAACCCTCACACATTCGACTTCTTTTGAATAGTTGCTCATAGCCTTGCCTTGGCACGACGAGCATGAATGAAATTTCGATTATCTGTTGGAAATATATTCATGTATGCACAGTGCAAGTTTTGTGAAAATAAGTTCAGGCTTAGGTTAAAAGTCATTTTTCTTCCATAGTCTAAACTGGTACTAACGGACGGGGGGGACCTGTCTCTTTCAGCGCTGAACGAGACTTCGTCTCGCCCAGTTGTGTGACGGGCAATGGGTGTGTATGTTAGGTTTTCTATTTGCTGCCGTCTCCACACGGCTGCACCCAGAAATTACATGCGGAACCTTTTTCCTGGAAAGAGCAATCAACCAAAGCAACCAACACGAACGCAGACCCTCTGCATACCCTCCCAAATAAAACAAGTTTTGCATGCACTAGGATTAGAAGTGTAGGAAGGGAAAGCAAATCGGACGCACCCGAAGGGAATTTTGACTGAAGGCTGTGCGGAGAGAGGATGGAGAGACTCCGAGCCCAATTCGCGTTCTGTAACTCACTGCGTTGTCGACGTGCGTGAAGCCTCTGATGAAGTGGGAAATGACCTTGGGCTCCACTGAAGCTGATTATGTTATTTAATACCAAGGTCGTGCCGGTTTTTTCTCGTGGAGCTGTAGCTTGGAAGAAAGCACACGACTTCCGAGTGGCAATGGTTTATGCTATGCTATGCGATTCCCGTGAGAAAATTTTCATCAGTGGATTTTCAAACATGTTTCAAACGTGGATTTTCAACTACTGGGATCAGATATGATACCCTTGGAGTCTTATTCTCCACCTTTTTTATTTATTATAAAACTGAACTCGTTCGGATCGGAGGTATAGGATGTATCTGTGGTATTAAATGCTTCTCCCTTTCAAATTATTTCATTCGTCAAGGTATCGATCATCCGAATAAATTTTTTTATTTTTAAATTTTCCGCTTGAGCTCAGGGTCAAGGATGATAAGGTGGTAATATGACACGAGCGACAGTGCCGTTCAAGGTCTCATGCCTGACAAGAAGAAACATACAATACTGTCGTCGAATTCCTCTATTAGTGAACTACGAGCACTCCCTCTCTGTTTTTCAAAAGGAGTTTATTTTTCCAGATGTCTGCTTCAGTACAGTTTCTTCGACAACGCAAACGAGCTAACTCGGCGACATCTCACCAATCGTAGCTATAAGAGAAGTTCAGATCAGGAACAGTTATTGCGGCTGCATAACGGTGACAGAGGGAGAGAAACAGGGCTGGCCGTGACCAAGAAATCCAGGCAAAGACCCTTGGTCCTTGAAGAGATTCCTTCACCCGGCGAGACCTCAATGCCGAGGCAATCCTCCGAGACCAAAGTATTCTCAAGGCTCAAGGACCTCTTCGTTGTTTTTGTTTAGGAATACCCTCAAGGCCTGAGGAACTCCATTCGTAGTTCAAGGATTCCCAGCCCAAGTTGGGAGTCCCGTCGAGACTCCCCTCACTCGTCGTGGCTTAGAAATACCCCTTTCAGAGTCCCCCGAGGGACAGAAGGTAGGGTCTAGGAATCCCCATAGAGCTAGATGATGCCTCAAGACCAACAGAATCCACTGGATTTGTTCAAATGGACGCTTCACCCCTACGAGAACCAAAATACGATCACCGTACACCCTTTCGCTTGAGAAACGCCTTGAATGATCCATAACTACATCCAAGGCCCTCTTCCCTATGCGGTCGTATTATCGGAGGTCTGAGACGCTGCAAGAACGGCCAATCGGATGCAAGTAATGCTGGTTTTATAGTTCTCGCTCGCTTTTCTTTGCAGAGTTCAGGTTGGGCAACACTGTTCGCGAGGACGACTGTTACTACTGCTATTGTCTTAGTCTTCGTTGCATCTGCTTGTGTCGTACATTTTAGGTTTCGTGAGTCTGTAATTTTTTTTTGCATGACATTCAAATACTTTGTCGTGCCTGAGCTTGGGTTCTTAGGCCTAGGGTCGTTACTACGGTAAAAATTACTTCAGTACATGTGAGAGACACCATTAAGGATCCATCCCATGCGCTCCATTTCCATTTTTTTATTATAAATATTTCCATGTGCTCGTTCGTATGAAAGTCTGAGACACTCCAAGATGCATACAGATTTTTTTTCTGCGTACGAGTTATAAACGGAGGCGGGCTGATCACAAATCTCACGAAGCACATCCTCTCCTTGACAAATCTTTAGAAAGAAATAAACGAGGTTAAAATATCAGTGACTACCGACTTCGCAGCATGGGTAAACTCGTGCGTTAAAAACGTTGTCCCTCTTCGTGTTTCTGTTCCTTAGATATAATTCTGGGAAGTTTGAGGGTCTGAGTCAAATTGACCCCTTGGGTAAAACCTTGACCCCCTTAAATATTGATCCGGGTCTTTTGATCTGGAGAATATTTTTTATATGAATATTGCTCTTGAGGAGTAAATATTGACCCAAGCGAGACTTATAGCTCCATTGAAGAACTCTCAAGGTTCAGATGATATTTTTCCCGAGGGGAAATTTAAGGATAAACATCAGAAGTATTCTGGCTATCTCAATCATTTGGATTCTGAGGTAGGCCTTCATAAATGAAACTTTTTTTGTGGCCTAAAGCAAACAAAAAAACGCAATCTTAAGCTGCGCCAGCTCTCCACTCGCAATAAGGAAATAGACTGTTTAAAAAATGCATGGCCCCTTTAGTCCTGACTGAAGAAAGAGAACTAGTTGAAGCTTGAGTCCTCTAAAGGAGGCTGAGGTGACCTTTGATATTTGAACCGTGTTTTTATGGCGAACCCCACAGGGGGGGGGGGGGGGGGGGGGGGGGGGTTTAACAAGATGAGACCGATTTTTGGGGGCGCCCGGGGGGGGGGGGGGGGGGGGGGTCGGGGGTCGTTTTAACAAGATGAGACCGTCGTCGAGACATAACTAGATGAAGGGCCTTTTGGGAGAGATGCAGTTGGTGACGTTCTCACCTTGCTAGGTGTCATTATGATAGACTGCCATTTCTTTGTGTGAAAATTTTACAAACTGGGAAAATTTGCTCTCAATTACATATGAACTCTAGCACGATTAATTGAACTCTTCATTTAATAAATAAATCATCTCTAGAATTGGTTGGAGAGCCTTTAGTCATGAATCAAGCTTAAATCATGATTTAACCTTGATTTGAATCAAGTCCTCTGGTCTCGTGGCCCTTCCCCCCTCGGCTCTGCCAGGGTTTTGTCTCCCATGTTTTTGAAAGAGTGCAAAGGACACACAAGAAAGTGCGCAGCGGAACTGGCTGTTTTATTATCATCATTAGAATTCACAAGGGAAGGTTCAACTGGGGAACCAGGTAACAAGTAATCACTGGGGGAATGTGAAAGAATGGCCTTCGAGGCCGAAGAATCGTTCGGTGTTTCTCGACCAGTGCCGTGCGATACTTATTTCAAGACGAAACTCTTGAAAAGGGAAAGAAACGAACACGTGCTTGAAAATTTGCATCCAGATGTAATGTTCATATCTAGTGTACCTGTAGTGTGAAATGGCGGAATTTACGTCTGGCAATCGAATCTCGGCTTGAAATGACTCGTCGTCATCGTCTTTCCTTCTGGAAAATGCCCTTCGGAACCGATCAGAATTCAAATTATGAGCACTAAAATCGGATGCATTGAATCTGTATGATGGAACGTTGCTATATCCTCTCATTGTTCCACATTCATTTGGCACAGTCAGTCTGCAGCCAAGAGCAACTGGTGGACAGGCAAGAGTGCAGAAGTAGAGATTGAGGTTAAGAGTGAACAATAATTCTCTGTTCTGACGAAGGGAAAGTCGGAGAGTTTCAGAGGACCGTGTCGAACATGTGAAGCGACTCCAGGATTTCTTTGTTTCTGGAGCACCAGTTGCAAAGATCCTCGATGGAAACTACTCCATCTTGGTCGGCGTCCATCAGCTAATGGAGGGTGAATGGGGAGAAACAGAAAATATGATTGATGCAGCCAGCAGAAGGGGGGAATGTAATATTTACAACACCTGCACTCCATACATTACAAGGGCGGGGGATCAGATTCGTTTATGCTTAATGGATGTATGAGGGATGCATGGAGCTCACATGGAAGAGTTTGTCCACGTGCTCCCGAGCGGAGTTTTCGTCCACTTCTGGTTCCGTGCATTTCCCAAGCATTTCGTAGATGGCGCTCACGACGTCCAGCATCTCCGCTTTCGTGATTTTCCCATCTCCGTCGACGTCATATAGACCAAAGATCCACTGGAGCTTGTCTTGTATCGTACCCCGTGAGATGTTGGACATGATTTGTAGGAATTCCTAAAGATCCCAATCAGTGATTTCCTAGCCTCGCAGAAGTTGAGAAACGGGTAAAACAAATGGCTTACTTCGAAGCTGATGAAGTTAGTGTTGTTCTGCCTGACGAAAGTCCTGAAGACGTAATGGGCATACTGGCTCGCATCTGAAAGGAACGGCACACATCATGTATTCGCGTGCTCTCGTTTTGTCATTTTCAATTTCCAACCTATTTAAAGGAGGACAAAATGGGCTATTATACGACCAAGGGATCCCGCCTCGTTTCCTCTCTATCTGCATCATGTACGAGGAAATGAGGAAGGCGGCCCGGCCACGAAGAGAAATGACTGGCTCAGAAAGAGACTTCCTCTGCCGTAATGGCCTTCGACGTCTGTTCCTGGAAGAGGAAAAAAAAAAACCTGCTCTCCTAGCTCTCTTTTTCTTTCTTCTTTCATTCTCCTTACAGTACCCATGAGGTCACGATTCATCGCATTCTTAATGTCGACTAGATCAGGGCTCGAATGAACCCGAGTTCCGCGTTTTCGTTTCGGATGCGCGAGGAAGTTGTACGAATCAATCTCGCGTGGAGACCTCTTTCGAAGACTCGATAGATTTCCCATCTCCAAGTTGAGATTGAGCTCTTCGGAGCTGCATAATGTACGAGGCGGGGGAGCGCATATCATGAATTTTTGACGCTTTAGATCACTTTTGTCTGCCCCTTGTGAAGGGGCGACATGGCACTAGTTCATCACATCGCAAGATGTGATGAACTAGTGCCATGATTTTCACTGGATGATCGCTTCTCGCCTTGCAGGAAGAGTCTCTCGATCACCTCTTAATTTTTTTTTTAAGCCTCTTCCAGAGCAGGCTCAATCGAATCTGAAGCACTGAAAGAATGGGTCTCTAACCTCCTTGGGGGAAGAATTGCGAGAAGATGTCCTTGAAAATCTCTTCATTGACGATGCCTGTCGGGCATTCCTGCAGAACAGAAATGAGTTCCTCAATTCAATTGCTTCACATATGGCGGATAAAGGGGACGGGGATGTCATTAATGTGCTCAAGAGAGGGAAAATGAGGGATAAGGTGAAAATGGGACGAAGATGTCAATATTTTTTGACAGAATTTGATTCAATAACGTCATATGATGGCATATTCTCTATTTTTTAGCCCTTGGACTGCCTTGCCTGGTAGTAATTTTCATAAATACGATTCCATCTTCTACCCACGGGTACCTAAGACCTTAGATTTCTCGAGGTGGTTTTATCGTTATATTCATTTTCAGATGTGAACTGTGAGCATGGCATG